AAACCAAAAGGGCTTTTAGTGGGAACTTGTTCCAGACCACCTAATGATACTGATAAAATTAATGAGAAACTTTATACGGTGAGCATAAGATTTCAGCTGTTAATGAGGTCATAATTATGGGCGATTTTAATTTAAGAGTATAGATTGGGAAATTTTAGAGTCAAACCACGAGGGAGAAAGGTTTTTTGGAAACTGTTCAGGATGTTTTTCTTCACCAATTAGTCAAGGAACCAACTAGAAACAATTCTATTTCATATTTATTGTTAATTTTTAATATAAATAATGGTTGAGAGGGTGGAAATTGGGGAACATCTGGGTGCAAGTGATCTTTGCTCTATTAGGTTTGGTGTTTTGTTGCATATGGAGATCAGGAATAATGATATTTTGGTCACAAATTTTGAAGGGATGTGACAAGAATGATCTGTTGTGAATTGGGCAGATGAGTTATTTGGAGACACTGATGAAATGTGGAAAATTTTTAATGATAATTTGTTAAATATTGAAGATAAACATATTTCTAATGGAAAGAAAAGGGTGGCTGCAAGTAAAATACCAGGTTGGCTCACAAAGGGCATAAGGGATAAAATTAAGTAAAAGCATCACAGTTTAAGAAATTTAAATTGACTGGAAGACTTGGAAGATTATAGAAAATTATAAAGTTGGTCAAACAGGAAATTAAGACATCAAAAGAAAAGGTGGACTGAAAACGTAAAAATTAGCAGTAAGGATTTCTTTAAATACATTAAGGGTAAACAAAATGTTAGGATGGGGGTAGGACCTGTGAGGGATGTTAAAGGAAGGCTTGTATCGGATTATTATAAGATGACTGGGTTATTAAATTCTGCTTTTTATTCAGTTTTTACTAATGAAGATTTAAGCAGTATTCCTCATCTTGAACAGTTGATAGATGGAAACAAGATGATGATATTAATTCTGAACTTGTTAAGAAAAAATTGGGACGTTTAAAGAATGATAAGGCTCCTGAGCCAGATGATATTTCCCTAAGGGTTTTGAAGGAGGTTAACGATTGAATATTTGAACCACTTGTTACTATTTTTTGCAAGTCTTTGAATAGTAGGTAGGTACCAGAGGATTGGAAGTTAACTAATGTTACTCCTCTTTTCAAGGGAGGTAATAAAAATTTCCCCAGTAATTATAGACCCATTAGTCTTACATCATTTGTGGGAAAAGTTTTGGAAAGTGTGATGAAAGATGCTTTAAAAAGTTATTTAACAAAGTTTAGAATTTTATCAGATAGTCAACATGGTTTCACTAAGGAAAAATCCTGCCTTACAAATCTTTTGACATTCTTTGAAAAGGTTACTGTTTATGCAGATGAGAATAATGGTGTAGTTTTGGTGTATCTGGATTTTCAGAAAGCCTTTGACAAGATGTCACATAAAAGGCTTGTAAAAATTATATTTTTAGGTGTGGAGGATAAGTTAGTTGATTGGGTAGAAGAGTGGCTGGATGGAAGAGAGCAGAGGGTTGATATAAATGGAGTTCAGTCAAACTGGATCAATATCACAAGTAGGGTACCTTAGGGCTCAATCATAGGATCTTTGCTCCTGTTGATTTACATCAATGACATAGATGAAGGAATGATCAATAAGTTACTTATATTTGCTGATGATATTAAGATCTTGGGTGTTGATAGCTGTGAAGAAGATGTTGCTGCTTTACAAAAAGGATTTAGATCATTTAGTGAGTTGAATGAATAAATGGCAGATGGGTTTTAATTATTATAAATGTAAGATATTGTATGTGGGTTATCATAATTTGAATTATAAGTATAATTTGGATGGGGATAACCTTAACAGTGTTGTGAAAGAAAGGAATCTTGGTATAATGGTTGATCAGTCTTTAAAGCCATCCAGACAGTGTGCTGTTAGTAGTGGTAGGGCAAATAGGATTTTAGATTGTATCTACAGAAATACTAAATACAAGTCTAAAAAGGTTATAATTTCATTGTATAGATCACTCTTTAGGCTACATTTGGAATATTGTGTTCAGTCTTGGACTCCTTACCTTAAGAAGGACATTGAATTGTTGAAAAAAGGATCAGAGGAGGGTTACTAGAATGGTGCCTGGGATGGAGGGATTGTAATACACAGAAAAGTTAAGATCTCTGAAATTGTTTTCTCTTGTAAAAAAAAAAAAAAAGAGTTAGAAGGGATCTGATTGAGGTGTTTCAGATTGTAAAGGGAATTGATAGTGTTGATGCATCATCTTTTTTCATATTTAAAAGTGAGAATAGTAGGGCTAGGGGACACAAATATAAATTTCGCAAGAGTAGGAGTCATCTTCGGCTAAGACAGTTTTATTTTTCCAACAGGGTGGTTGGCCTTTGAAACAGGCTTACCTTCAGATGTTGTGGAGGCAGTAAATTTAAGTGAGTTTAGGAGAAAGCTTGATAATTATCTGAATGATCAGGGCTGACTTTGAGGTTATTTTTATTTCTTTAATTTTTAATGGTCTTAGTGTAGTTTAGAGGATGAGAGAGCCTAGATGGACCAATAGGTCCCTTATTTTCCCTAAACATTATAGAACATTTTATAGAATATTTACAAGTAATACACCTAGAAAATTTTAGTTTTGTTCCACAAAAGTACATTCTAAACTCTTCATTGAAATTTTGTTCTTTTTTTGGATGTATAAGTTGAAATACATATTTAAAGTAAAGTACTATTATTTAAAAAGATAATACTTTGTTATAACCAGTCCTAAACATCCAATTTACCAACATATAAGCTAGCTATGGTTATTTACTTGTAGATTGCATGCCTTTAAATGTGACGATAATGACATTTATCTCTAACTGTAAAGAAGATTCAAAGCATCTTTAAATGTAGTTGAATTTTCACATGGAAATTTTGGATAAAACATAAAATATATGGTGTGTATATAGTGCACTTCTCTTTATGAATGAAACATAAAATATATGGTGTGTATATAGTGCACTTCTCTTTATGAATAAAACAAAATATGTGGTGTGTATATAGTGCACTTCTCTTTATGAATAAAACAAAATATATGGTGTGTATATAGTGCACTTCTCTTTATTAAGGCTTCTAAAAACTATCAAAATATAATACTTGTGGTTGAACTAGGATATTAAGAAAGGGCGTGTGTGTTTGTGCCAAATATCCAAGAAGGATCGAGAGTCTGGGGGCAGGGTTAAGAGGAAGATTCCAACTGGATCAAAGGCTGATAGCGTTTTAGCAATAGAAATACAGTATTCTTCATGTTTTTGATATTTTGTTTTAGAAGTATATTTGACAGGTGTAATTGGAGAATTGATCACCAGGCCATGAAAAGGGGAAGGCACATGCTGGGTGTGCCTCTGTCTGAATCAGTCTATGATCACAGTACCTTTTATTTTGTGTGAAGTTAATACCACGAATAAACTTTTTTTACTAAGACATGAACAAAACTTGTCATGCGTAATATATAAAAAATATATATATAATTCATCATGTTTTCATTTTGAGTGATATGTTTATATTATAACAATTTATTAATGCATTTTTCTTCAAAAGAAAAGCCTAAAAACCAATATCGAAGAAACTTAGCTCCTTACATTTTTTGTACCATTCAGCTGTTTCATCAGTTTTGAAATGTTTTATCAACAATCCTATTTAGAGCTCTTTTTTCCATATATAATCAGGCTAGTTATTTTTATTGGTTTTTGTTTGTTTTGTTACATACTCCAAACAGAGAATTAGTAAAACTTAAGGGTCAAATTTTTCCTTGGTCCACTCACGAATATTTTAATTAATGTTAAAACATTTTTTTTCTTCCATGGATTGAATTAATTACCTTTAATAAGATTAGATGTGAAAGAGGTATAGTACAAATTAATCATAAGAACTTGAGTGAGAATATTTATCTATCTATTTAAAATTCAAACTTGTTGTTTCGGTTACTGGTTAAGAAAAAGAAACATTGAAATTTTATTGATTTTGTTTTCTTCTTAAAGGAAAGTAACGTAATCCTAACAGAGAATAAATAAAATTTTTTCAAGGCCTGTAAGAATATAATAAGGGTAGATAACTAGGTTTAGATTTTAGTTCAAATAATTAAAACAACATGTTTCTCATCAGCTCCTGTATCTAGTAGAAGTTGCTACCAACTCAGATTGTTTTATATTTTTTATTTAAAAATTGTAAATTTTCCAGTGTCTGTTCTCAAATGTTTGATTGCAGCGCAATCTATACAAAGACAATATTTACTATAGTAAATATATGTATTTATTGTTTGAGCAAAATATAAGTTATGCTAAAAATTCAAATTTCCCTGAGTCTATTCTCAAATGTTTGGCCCCCTAGTGGCACAGCGCTATGTCTGTGGACTTACAATGCTAGAAAAACGGGTTTCAATACCTGTAGTGTGCAGAGCACAGATAGCTCATTGTGTAGCTTTGTACTTAACTACAAACAAACAAGTCAAATGTTTGATTGAAGCGCCACCTATACAAAGACTATATATAGTATAGCAAATATATATGTATTTACTGTTTAAGCAACATATAAGCTATGCTCTTCAAAAAAAAAAAGAGAGCTACTTTCCTTTAGATTTCTGAAAATATCTGATGGCAAATTGGGAATTTTTGTTGTCTGACCTTTGAGGTTTTGATTTAATTATTTTAATTAATTTTTCATAACAGATGTTATTTACTCTGAAGCATTGTTCAAGATCTTTCAATGCTATAAATTCTTTCACTTTAGCTTGTATAATTGCAATACATTTTTAACTTTGAAACTAGCTGAGTAGACCTCTGATGGAGGAAGGGATTAAAAATCAAGTTAAAATCACTTTACAAAGAATCATACATGGCAATGAGTTGAGCTAAATGCAAGCTAAAGAAAAGCTTTTTCCTCAGTGCATTTTGACTTATTTGTCACAATGAAAGTGATTTCAGTTTCTAAGTAGTGCATTGCTTTGTTTGGTTACTAGTTTGTTTTTTTAAGCAAAAATAGGTTTGTTGAGTTTCGTGATGAGCTGTTAATTTAGATGTAAATTATATACATATATATGGAAGTTGAAAAGGATATGTCGTATTCTGAAGAGAAGGAATGATTAGTTCTGTCACACTAATTGGTTGAGAAACACAGCAGTTCTCCAGAAAGTGAAGAAGTTAGTAAACTCATGGAAAATGAATTTCACAATAAAAAAAAGTAAAATTTTAGATATTTGATGTAATGAATATTCTGTCTTACTAACTTAAGTAATTTGTGGGCAACATTGTTAATGAGTAGTGTGTCTATGTGGTCTCAGTGTTTTTTTTAATTTATTTTCTTGTATTAATTACTTCCTCATATAAAGCTACTACTAACTGTGTTCAGTTACTTGTCTAGTGATATTGTGTTTAACAACCTCATTAACATTTTAATGTGTTTTGCAGGTAATTATGCAGCAAAGGACAGGGGTAGCTTAACAAAGCACCTTCGAACTCACTCCGAAGAAAAACCATACAAGTAAGAAATTAGCTTATTTAATCTGCAGTGTAATTTAAAAAAAAACAACAACTAAATATAAAAATCCCAAAGTGCACATTCCTGTTATTATTATTTATTGTATTTAGGCTATGTTATGAAATGGGAAGTTTTTTTTCCTTTCTATCAGTCCTATATTGTAGTTAGATGATTAGTAATTCAGATACTAATGTGGCTGAAACAGTGACTTAAAAATATTTCAAAGTCTAGAAAAAGCAAAGTTGTACATTAAGCAACTCAAAGTTTTAGTTCTATGCAGGCATCTTAATTGTAAATCTGTGTTCCTTTTCTGTATGTGTTACCATCCTGACTACACAGAGCTGGCTCTAGACAAAATTGTGGCCTGTGTGAACTTTTTATATGGTGCCCCTGCCCCTGTAAAATTGACAAGAACTACTAATTGTAATGTCCATTTTGGTGTCCCTTGGGTTGGGAACCCTTAGTGGGGGCACTGTTGTCCACCTCAAGGACCCCTGTGTTTACATTTCCTTTTTTGTTCTATGTTTTCTTGATTTAGTTATTTTAATTTTTTTCTGTGTTATTTCTTATTAATTATTGCAACTATATATATATATTTGAACTTTTTAAGCTACATATAATTTATTCCTTTTCATGTATCATTCACTGTCTAAATTATTAATTGTTTAAATTTGTTTTTAGAATTACAAGGCACAAACGTCAGTAATGCAACAAGATTTTAGGTTTATCCATCACATTTTTATCCTGTATATCTAAAAATAAAATGTTCCACATTGTTTTCAGGTGCCAGAGTTGTCCATACAAGTGTCGTAGTTCCAGTCAGTTATCAGTTCATGTACGCACTCACACAGGGGATAAGCCATTCCAATGTGTTCTCTGCGACACTAGGTTTAAAATCAACTCCGACTTGAAGCGACACATGAGAATTCATACTGGAGAGAAACCCTATAAATGTGATATGTGCCCCTACTCATGTGCAATAAAAGGTAAAGGTTTCTTGTGGCTTTGCCAAGACTCTACCATGTTAAACTATCATGTAGTGAAACTAGTGGTACAGTTTGTTTGATTATCTAAGTTGGTATGTACAGCTAGCGAGGTTGTTTAATTTGCTTATTAGATATTGTGATGTCTGTGACACTCTGTTGTTTGTTTGATTATCTAAGTTGGTATGTACAGCTAGCAAGGTTGTTTAACTTGCTTAGTAGATATTGTGATGTCTGTGACACTCTGTTGTTTGTTTTGTCTAAGTTGGTATGTACAGTTAGGAAGGTTGTTTAACTTGCTTAGTAGATATTGTGATGTCTGTGACACTCTGTTGTTTGTTTTGTCTAAGTTTGAGCTTGTGATGGATTTAGTGAGGTGCTTGAGAAGTATGATATTGACATTAGAGATTTTGAGTAGTAATTACAGTTAGTGTTGGATATCTATTTAATCTCAAATCTTTGAGATCAAACACTACATTTATTTATGATATTTTATGCCAGTAGTTGCTAACTGCTGGTCTGCAGAAACAACAAAAGTTTTTTATTGCACTCTCTTTCTTTGAGACTGGTTTACACTTCTACTTGAATAAACACCACACCTTATGAGCTTGACTGTACTGTTGTTTAAGAAGAATAGTTAGGACCATAATATGAACAACTTGTGGCTGTGGTATATTATCAGTTTTTTTTTTTTACATAGTGCAGGGGGGAGGGGGAAAGCTTACTTTCCTAAACTCAGTCCTCTTCTACCTACATTTGTTTTTGCAAATTTGAGGGTTTTATTTCTTAGCAAGCAAAAGTACCCATCCCCATTCATGGGGAAAGTTTAAGTTAATCTAGCAAAAGTACCCATCCCCATTCACGGGGAAAGTTTAAGTTAATCTAGCAAAAGTACCCATCCCCATTCACGGGGAAAGTTTAAGTTAATCTAGCAAAAGTACCCGTCCCCATTCACGGTGAAAGTTTAAGTTGATCTAGCAAAAGTACCCGTCCCCATTCACGGTGAAAGTTTAAGTTGATCTAGCAAAAGTACTCATCCCCATTCACGGGGAAAGTTTAAGTTAATCTAGCAAAAGTACTCATCCCCATTCACGGGGGAAGTTTAAGTTAATCTAGCAAAAGTACCCGTCCCCAATGATGGGAAAAGTTTAAGTTAATCTATGAACTTAAATTATTTCATGGACTTTAAAAGGTTAATTCTGTCGCACTCTTTGCTTCACTCAGAGCTAAAACTCTGAACTACTTATACTACCTCTCGCAAATATTAATTGGTGAGCATTTTAGTCATGCTAATAGCTACTCAACAATAACATATGGTAAATCTACATTTTAATTCTTTAACTTACGTTACATTTTGAAATGTAAATGATAGTGGGGTTAATTCCTAACAATTTAGTGTAGAATATCCTGCTTGCAAAATAAAATTGGGTGTCAACATTATTCACGTCTGTTCTCCAGTCATTTCAAAAGTGAATGTTGAGCTTTGCCTGCATGCTCAGCTTTTCAAACAGGAAACAGATGAACACTTGGACAGACACTACGTTCGCAATATATAAATATATAGTGTGAATAAAAGTCCATGACATAAACAGCCACAGCCCAGTTTTTTTGTGTGTGGTGGGGAAGGGGGGGGACAAACATTTTGTAACATAATTTTCTTTAGTATAATCATTGTATTTTAAATAAATGTGAGTCTTTTCTATTGATCAGATATTTAATAATTGACCTGACAGTATAGAAAAGCAAATATAAATTTTTTTGTAATAAAAATTTAATGTGGACTTTTCTTTTTGATAAATTCATCTTTAAACATTGTTGGTGTTATGTTTTTTTGAATTAATTCATTAATATATAAGAGTGTAGTTGATAATTGCAATTTCACTTAAAATTTTGTAAGTTTGGATTAAATGTATGTAAGTTCTTTGTACAAGTGTAATAGAAGCTCTGTTACATCATAAACAGTTCAAATATTTTTACAAAATCTAAATTGTGTAGTTTTACTGCTAGGAATTTTTGTTCGTGTATATACTTTGGTAAGTTATTTTTGGGCAATATTTATTCCTTTTGTTCAAATTCTTCAAAAATTATTTTATTTTTTGCAATGTGTTTAATTAGAAGTGTAATGATGACAATGAATTAAACGTTCTTATCCTGACTCATTTTTTTTCAGCAAACTTGAAAACACATATACGAGTGAATCACTCGATGGACAATCCCTTGAAATGTTCCAAATGTGACTTTGCCACCCCATCCCGTCGAGTGCTCCGGGAGCATGAACGTGAACATAAGGATAAAACTCAACGTTGCAACCATTGTAACTATTTAACACCTTCTCTCTCGGCCCTCAATGTCCATCTGAGGATTCACAGTAAGGATAAATCCTTTAAATGTGACCACTGTCCATACAGTTCAAACAAAGCTTGTAAGTTTTTTCTTGTGCTTATAATGTTCACAAAATTCCTTACAAATCGTAATGAAGAGTTATTTTAATGTCTCAAAAATGTGATCTAGTCTGACAGTTATGAAACAGTACTATCACTTTATGAAGCAACTATTTTTTCCAGTTGTTTACTAATCAATACACTTAAGTTTTATGGGTGTTTAGACACTTTTTTTTCACAACTTAAGAACTTGGTGACAATAATTGAGAATAAGTTATTTTATTTGATTATAATTACTTATATATATTTATGCTAAAAACCACCGTGTTCTTTTTCAATCTCTATTGTTGCTGAGACTTTACAAATGTGTTTTTTTTTTCTGTCTGATTGGGGCTATTTGAAAGGACAAACTTGAGGAGAGATATCATTACACCGAACAAAAACATCTTTTTTAAAATGTCTCTGTAAGCCTGACTGCTTTCCTGTTTTTTCCTCAAGAACCTGAAAAATAATGATTCACACACAAACACACACCTAATTTAAAACCTAATATTAACTCTATCAGTAAATTAAACGTCTTAATTTTAGTTTTACATTGCAACATTGGCAACAAGGTAATTTTTGTTTTCAATAAAAAAAGTTTAAGCTTAATGCATTGCTGCAGAAGACACCATCTGTATCAGGAGATTCCATGAGACTCAAGAAGACTCAGTCTTTTGTCAAAATGGTAAACACCAGAAACAATGAATTCTATTTCAGTTACTTTATTATCCTGAAGAAGAACAGTGAACTATTCGAAAGCACTCGAGTTTTGGGTCTCGTTTCGAAACCATTACAACTTTTGTATGAGTTCCTGTATGCTAGCTTCTTAATCAGAATACCAATATAAAAATATCTTAAATAAAATATCTTTTGTTTGTTAATGTAATCTATGTACAGGGATTCAATATATTGTTAATTGGTATTATATGGTTGGTACTAAAGAAAATATTAAGGAGACAATTGAAACATATTTAATTATTGTTTGTTTCACAATAGTAGTTACATATCAAACTACGTTCTAAATTAAACAACTGTATAGTAATTTTTGCCCCACCATGCATATGTTGACCAATTAGGTAACAGTCAAAAGATAATTTTATGTGCAAGATTTAATAGGACTAATATACATAATTAAATTCAACATGTTATATATTTTTTTGTATCTACATGTCAATTAATAAAGAGTTATAGCTTTATAGTTTATTTAAAGCAGAAGTATAAATGTTGTTATTCACTAGGTAATCTGCCCCTTCATATCAAGAAAAATCACCTCAAAATGATTGGAAAAAGTCAAGCCAGAAGATTAACTGTAGAGAAGAATGTATCAGTTCTTTCTCAAACTAAATACAAGAAAAATAGAAAAACTTCAGATGGTATGCTTTTCAAATGTGGACAATGTGAAAAAAACTTTAAGGGAAAAAATATCTATCAAAATCATTTAAAGACTCACAGAAGCTGTGAAGGCTTACTTGACAGTACTTTTATCCCATCAAATTGTTCAGGAGTGGGTGATACTATCTGTGATGTGATATGCTCATCTGAAAGCTCAGATTTAAATACTACTAGTTCCACCAGTAGATTTTTTCAATCTGGAAATACCCAACTCACAGCAGCTGTGCACTTGGCTGATCCAAACTTTCATGTTATACAAAACACTGCACTTGATTCTCCAAACTGTAGTGTTCCCCAAGTCACTGTAACTAATGTAACAACACATCCGACAGTCGGTTCTCTTAAAATATCTGAAAATACAATGTCAGAAATGTCATTCAAAGTTCGGGACAGTGTGCAATCTAATAACAGTACACCTGTTTTTGTGATTCCCATTTCTGGTGAAAATGGAACTTTGGTACTTCCAACTAATGATGGCTTGCTTGACCAGTCTTCAACAGGCACCACCTGTAATAGCAAGAACAAACCGCAGGTTTCCTTGAACCACGGAAGAAGTACAGCCTCAAATTTTCAGATGCAAGAATCCTCCACTACAGCAGGAAGTAATTCAAGTGAAGAGAATTTTCACTTAGATAAACCAGGAATCACTTCTCTGCAACAAAGTCAGAGTAACTCTACAAATAATGTAAGGAATGAGAAGCTAGCCAATTTATTTTCCGAGAATTATAGTCAACATGAATTTTGTCATGGTACAAAGGTTCTCACTTCATATTCTACTTTTTCTAGTAGTCATAGCAATCCTACAACCACATGGTCAGCAAGCTCTCAGCCTTCTCAAGTATTCCATGTGAACAATTCTACTCCTGATATCACCAGCTCTGGAATTATGATGCAGCATGGCGGTTTGGAGTCTGGAACAACTATTTTGTATCATGTTCAAACAGATGGAGGAGGATCAGTCATCATTCCAGTTCTTCCCTTCAACCAAGAAGGAGTTTCTGGAGTAAGAACAGAGCCTGGATTTGCGATTCCACAGTTTACAGAGCCTCCTGGACTGAATCAGCAATCTCTACTTCCTAACGTTCAATATTTGGTTTCACATCCAGTCATCCAACCCGAACAAGTAGTGCAGGTAGACGTTGCAGGAATCCACTTTCCCACTAGTAGTGCTTCCGTTTCCTCTAGTCCCTTACAGATACCAAACAGTGTTCCTATAGGTCTTCCTTCTGTTGAAGTATCCCAACCATTGGGGATTATTGGTAACAGCCCAGAGCAGATTGGTGTCGATTCTGACGAAGGATCAGTTACCAGAGCCGTAGGGAATACGAGACTTGAACTATTTGCTAGCACCCAAGCATTAAACAGCACAACTGAGGTAGCAAGTTCACCAAGCTTTTCTCACCCAGTGTTTTTAACTTCATCATCAGGTATTTCTCAAGCTATTGTGACAAATCCAGACATTCCTGGGATAATGCTCCAGTCTGCATCAGATCTTCAGAACTTCACCAGTGTAACTACACCACCACTGGAAACACTAAATATCAATGCATGTAACAATACCCTGCATTATGTTGGATTAGCTACTCCTGTTTCTTTAGGGACCACGTGTGTATTGGCTGATTCCTCTGTATTGAAATCGAACATTTTATCTACCCTGGATTCAGTAACTGGAACTCAAAATTCTTTGAGAAGAAGTATTGGTGGAGGTTCTTTGGTCCCAACCTCAAGTTTTGGACATGAGATAACTAGTTCATGATGCACTGCTTGTGGTTTTCTAAATTTCTAAAGACATGGATGTAATTTTGTAGTTTTGTAATTGCTGTATTAAGAACTTGAATGTTTATACAAATATTTTTAAATACAAAAATAAATAATATATAAATATATATAAGATCATTCACCTATTTTTACTTTAAAAAAATTAGTTATTTAAGTATTGTCCAAACACCGACCCAAACACATGTTAAGGTGGTAATGATAAAAGAACATAATATCGTGTATAGCAATTAGTGAAAAAACTACAGTAAACGGAACAAACTGTCAGAAATAAGGAGGTTATTAACGTATTAGTACTTTTAGTAGGTGGCGTTTTACAAATTGAGCGAGTCATTTTTACGGTAATTGTTAGCACAAATAGGTAGTGATAAAGATAAAAGTTCAAAATGTACCGTTTTTTTATGATTTTAAAGGAATTACATTACGGTTCTGTTGGTAAAAGAAGAATTTTATTTTAGTCACACTTGCCCATATTTAGGTGTATATGATTATCTTAATCTGTTATAGATGGCGATCTAAGACATTTAAAGGCCATGATATCTATTATGGCCCCCCCGGTAAGGTGTCGATAGTGAATTTGAATATGGAAAACATTACTCATTGGCCATTTTGTGTGTAACTTAATGCTGTTAGTAACGTTAGACATCGCAATGGTTTTTATATTAGGAAAATAATATATCGCAAACGTAACGCAAATAATGATATAAAGTTACTAGAGGTCATGTTGCATTTCTTCACATTGTTATTATTTTTAATAGTAGACTTTCAATACTACGTTTTGTATTTTTTATTTCTTTGGCTCGGCATGGCCAGGTGGTTAGGGCGCTTGACTAGCAGTCTGAGGGTCGCGGGTTGGAATCTCCGTCACACCTAACTTGCTCGCCCTTTCAGCCGTGGGGCCTTTTAATGTGACGGTGAATCCCACTATTCGTTGGTAAAATAGTAGCCCAAGAGTTGGCGGTGGGTGGTGATGACTAGTTGCCTTCCCTCTAGTCTTACACTGCTAAATTAGGAACGGCTAGCGCAGATAGCCCTCGTATAGCTTTGCGCGAAATTTAAAATTAAACCAAATCCTTTTGTAACAACACAAACGTTGAAAATTGAACCAGTTCGATGGATATAAAGAAAGTCAGCAATAGGTTAGAGTGTACAAAACCACCACGTTATCAATGTAACACCAGTCAACCACGTTACTACCAGAGTAGGCTTAGCATGGCCATCTGTCTCGCTTAACTTTAGGCCAAAAACTTTTTATTTCCTTGCCGTACCACGAATTTATATATCACGTGATACATTAACAACAACATCTTAGCATTTGTTTTACATACTCGTACATGAACTTAGCATACATACATCACCGCTAGGCAATGTTAATTTTTGTTGTTGTTGTTATTAAACTCAAAGCTACACAATGTTGGTTTCTTAATACGAAAATTATTAATATTTAATTGGATGCAGGAGAGTTAGCGTTTTTAAAACGAATACAAATCTAGCTGAACTGAACTTCAGAAGAAAATAAACAAATAAACGTTAAATAAAGCCATAACTAAAAATCAAATAGAAATCGATACCTAAAAACAGTAGATTGGTTTTATAATACAAAATGAACATAAATTCCAGCACCACGATATACATGGAATAAGTATATAAATGTATAAATATACTGAATACACATATGTAGTGTTTTAACCAATTGCACCACTATACAGTAGTGTGTTGTCTGTCAGTCAGTAGATACAAAAGTGACGTCACATAAGGGACGCTTAACGCTGTAATTTATACTGCCGTGTCGTTAGTAGAACGTGCGCATGCGACGAATCACGAGAATAATTATGCACTCTGTAGGCTACAACACAGCACAACATATGAACTTCAAAAGCAAGAAATACATCTAGTATATATTGGTGGCTGTAAGTAAAAATGTTATGTATAGTTGTCATTAAATTATGATCAAAGTACCTGCATATATCAGAACTAAAAATTAACACAGTAATGATCTCAGGTATCGTTCTTGCTAATAATGATTATAATTATTCAGTTGGATACACACACAGATTTCGGTTTATCTCTAGTACTGGTTGGCCCTGTGGTAGAGCTCCGGATTTCGGACCTTGCGAGTCGGATTCGAATTCATACAATAGTACAATATATGCCCCTGCACTTTAATTCGCGTGTGCGTTATAAGAATGAGAGTCAATTCATTAACGTGGGTGGTAGGGGTATGTTGAGTGAATAGAAGTTCAGGATTAGGGACAGGGAAACCTAGCCGTAGTAGCTTTGCCATTAATACAAATACAGATTTGTTTTCGGCAATGATTATAACTTTAAGGAATTGTTTTAGAATGGCTTCCTAATTTGGAAAAGTTTCCAAGGACTGACTTAGAAGAAGAAGAAAAGGAGAGGGGGGGGGGGGCGAGAGAAGTACGAAACATTATAAAGACGAAATTACTTAAATTATCGGAAGTGGAAAAACGGTATGTCTGCGGACTTACATCGCTAGAATCCGGGTTTCGATACCCGTGGTGGGCAGAACACGGATAGACCATTGTATTGCTTTGTGCTTAACTTCAAACAAACAAACAATGTATGTGTAAAACATCTGAATGATCTCTTATAGCTCTTAGGTCAGTCGACCTTTCAGTTCTATACGTGATGTCGTTTGTACTTTTCAAAGTACAACTTGCTTGTTGTTAAATACAAAGATACAAAATGGACCATCTGTGCTATGGCCACCGCGTGTATTGAAACCCAGTTGTTTAGCGTTATAAGTTCTCAAACTTGTCGCTGAGCCACCGAGGAGGAGAGGGGGGGGGGGTATAACTTAGTTACTTAGACAAAATTCTAGTAGTGCATGACTTTTGCGTCACCCTGTATTTTTGCGTCATCCTGTATTTTTGCGTCATCCTGTAAAATGCTTACGCATATAGATATTTTATGATACAGTATTTTTTTTTCTGTACATACACAACGTTAGTCGAGCCGAAAAACAAACAAACACAAAATAATCTTTCTTATTTCTATCTTTGGATTGAACAAAATGACGTCACGATAGATTGCTTATGTTGTACCACTCAACTTGTATACTCGTTTTTATATCAATTGGTATAATATCGAATAACTTTTAAGTGTTTTCCTGTTGCAATACTCAGCGTAATTAACTATGGTTTAGCATGCCAGGACTATGGATTAGTGGCCTGTTGCCGCAAAAAGAAAAGATAAAACAAAAACCAATCGCACTCTGCACTTTAAGAGTTTAAATGCGTTATAAGAGTGATGACCAGATCTTAGAGTAGCCCAAGAGTTGGCGGTTGTCCCGTTGACTAGGTGCTTTCCTTCTAACCCATAGCATTAATGGTTCGAATCCCCGTTCCACCAAATATGCTCGCCCATTCAGCCGTGGGGGCGTTATAATGTGACGGTTAATCCCACTATTTGTTGTTAAAAGAATAGCCCAAGAGTTGGTGGTGGGTGATGATGACTAGCTGCTTTTCCGTCTGGTATTTCATTGCTAAATTAGGGACGGCTAGCCCTCGTGTAGCTTTGCGTGAAATTTAAATCAATCAAGTATAACACTAGAAGTAGAGACGGCTATATACAGATAGCCCTTGTGTTGCTTTGCGCGAAAATCTGAAAATAAAAAAAATGATAAATGTTTTTCTCCTACCAAAGTCAGACAGTAAAGAATTTGAAAAGGTGAAATAACACTATTTGAATGTATAAGGATTTACGAAAAAAAAAGTTTCAAAGACACTTTCACCTCTTTATTTTCTTTGCGATCACCTTTCGGGGAGAACTGTGGGGTAGCGACCTTTAGTTTGAGAACAACTGACGTAAAGTAATTATTTTTGTTGTTGTTCGTGTCTGAAATACGAGTAATGCAATCTTCTTTCTTCCAAAAAGTTTAGCTATCCATTTGATTCACTTGAGTATATGTTTCTGGGCCCTGAGTTATGTTACATTGCTTAGGACAATGAACTCTCTAAACGGAAATTAACAAGAAACAAAAAAATTATAGTTTCAAAAATACAACGAAATCGTAATTCTGACACATAATTTCGTAACTCAATAAAAAAAAGCAATAAAACCATCAACTCAGTCAATATTGATGTTGAAATTTATCTTTACTCATAAAAAGCCTCCCAGTGTCTCAGCGGTATGTCTGTGGACTTACAACGTTAGAAACCGGGTTTCGATACTTGCGGTTGGGACAGCACAAACAGCTCATTGTGCAGGTTTGTGCTTAACTACAAACAAATAAATACTCGTAAAAGAATTCCGAAATTATTATATTTTTCTAATATAAATCAAGAACTAATTACTAAAAAAAAAATAGAAGCAAGATACAACCCAAAGTTATAGTGTGCGAGATATTTGGAAGGCATTCGGATCTTCTTAAATTAACCAAACTTGTTAATCTACACGTGTTTGTTTTGACCAGTTTTAATACTTGTTAGTCTACACGTGTTTGTTTTAACCGATTTAATTACTTGTTAGTCTACACGTGTTTTTTCTGACCGGTTTTAATACTTGTTAGTCTACACGTGTTTGTTTTAACCAATTTCATTACTTGTAAGTCTACACGTGTTTGTTTTGACCAGTTTTAATAATTGTTAGTCTATACGTGTTTGTTCTGACCAGTTTTAATACTTGTTAGTCTACACGTGTTTGTTTTAACCGATTTCATTACTTGTTAGTCTACACGTGTTTGTTTTGACCAGTTTTAATAATTGTTAGTCTACACGTGTTTGTTTTGACCAGTTTTAATAATTGTTAGTCTACACGTGTTTGTTCTAACCGATTTTATTATATGAATACTGTTCTTAACCATTTTGTAGATCCATTCTTTTATTGTATCTTCGGCCAGGTGGTTAGGAAGCTCGACTCGCAATCTGCGTGTCGCGAGTTCGAATCCCCCGTCCCACAAAACATGCTCGCCCTTTCAGCGAGGGACAGTCCAAGCGAGAGTACCTCGTAGAAAAATTTTATTATTATTATATTTATTTATATTACCCAATTTAACGATAGAAAGTACATTGCCTAGGCAAATAGATTATGTTTGTTTGTTTGTTTTTTAATTTC